AGGAGAAGGAGAAGGAGAAGGAGAAGGAGAAGGAGAAGGAGAAGGAGAAGGAGAAGGAGAAGGAGAAGGAGAAGGAGAAGGAGAAACCAAACAAGCAAACGGAAAAACTAGAAATAAAAAAGGAAATAACACAGAAATGCCAAATTTAAACATCTTGTGTTTTATAGATCTGCTTGGAATCTAGGCTTTTCTTTTCCCTTGTGTAATAAAGTCAGGTTTGGTATGTAGCTGTTATCATCAATACTGGGGTGGAGGGGCACTGAACTCTAAAACCTTGCTTAATCAAACTTGTCCTTGGGACATCAGCCTTTGCATGGAGGAGATGATAGATATAGAGGTTTCAAGCCAACTCCAGATCTACTGAGTAAGAGTCTGCATTTTAAGAGGCGCTCAGAGGGTTCACAGAGGTGACTCGATGGCTAAGAACAGATGTTGTTCTTCCAGAGGACAGGAGTCAGAGGACCTGAGTCAAGTGGCTCCCATCACCTATACCTACAGCTCCAGGGGCTCTGATGCCCTCTTCTGGCCTCCACGAACACTAGCTTGTGTGTGGCATACACTGAAATGAAACAGACACATAGACAAAAGTAAGACAGACACATAGATAAAAGTAACACAGACACATAGATAAAAGTAATACAGACACATAGACAAAAATAATATAGACACATAGACAAAAAGCTCCATTTTAAAGGTTCCTTCCATCTGAAATTCCCAACAGGGAATCTTGAGGTATAAGAGACTATTCAGAAGGATTTTTACAATAAACTAACAAGTGACTGACTGTTGCTTGCAGCAACTTTTAAAATAACAAATGCTCTAATATGACAGCCTCCTAGGCAGGGGTTCTTAGACACAGCACCAAAAGCATGATTCATTTTTAAAAAGTATGTAAGTTGGACTTCATTAAAATTTGAAATGTTTATTCAATGAAAGACCTTGCTTAGAAGGTTAGTCAGACTGGAGTTTGGGAGAAAACATTTGCAAACAATATATTCAAATTAGATCTGCAGCTCAGAGTTGTAGCTCAATAGTAGGGTACCTATAAATTAGGCGAGGTTCTAGGTTTAATCCCTAGCACTCCCTCAGCATGTGTGTGTGCATGTGCATGTGACGTGTGTGTGTATGTGTGTGTATGTGTGCATGTGTGTGTGCACACACACATACACACACAACTTGAAATATATTCAACAAAAAAATTAATACTATCTAGAATATATAAAGAATCCTGCTGCCCAGGCATCGTAGTGTACACCTTTGATCACAACACTCTTTAGACAGAGGTAGAACAGGCTAAGGGAGTTGGAGGATACCCTAGTCTACATAAAGAGTTCTGGGCCAACTAGGGCTGCACAGTGAGAAAGTCTATCAGAAAAGGGAGGGAGGAAGGGAGGAAGGGAGGGAGGGAGGGAGGGAGGGAGGGAGGGAGGAAGGAAGGAAAGAAGGGAGGGAGGGAGGGAGGGAGGGAGGGAGGGAGGGAGGGAGGAAGGAAGGAAGGAAGGAAGGAAGGGAGGAAGGGAGGGAAGGAGGAAGGAAGGAAAGAAGGAAGGAAGGAAGGAAGGAAGGAAGGAAGGGAGGGAGGGAGGGAGGGAGGGAGGGAGGGAGAGAGGGAGAAAGGAAGGATCCTTAATACTTAGAAGAAAAAAATACAATTATAAAATGGAAAAGAGACAGGAGTAGGCACTCATTAAAGGGAGAGATGGAAGACAAAGAAGCCTGTGAAAAATACCCACCCTCAAAAACCACCAAGGAAATGCAAATTCAAACCACATGATGGGATCACCCTAGACCCATCAGAACAGCTAACACAAATAACTGGGAGCCCACCAAGAGCTGGGAGGGAAGTCTCTCACACACACTGTTCTTATGGGAATGAAGACATGGCCCACAATGGGAAATGACTTGACAGTTTCTCACAGGGTAAACACACCACTGACTGAACCACAGCCCAGCTTTACAACGCTGGGCATTTATCCCAGAGAAATGAAGACTTACATTTGCACAAAAATGTCTACACAAACTTCCACAACAACTTTATTCATGATAGTTACAAAGTAGAAACAACCCAGGCATCCTTCACAAGAGAAATGATGGAATAAACGCCAGGGTATTTGCATAGCAGAATGCTGCTCACCAAACGATGAAGGAGCCATTGACACGTGGAAGCTCCGCTGGATTGTAGGGGCATTATGCTTAGTGACAAAAACTGATCTAAGAATGTTGCATCTTCTAGGATTTCATGTTTTAAAGCAACTTCTCAAAAGTGCTAAACAATAAAGAAAAAACCTTCTCTAGACAATGGGCAGGGACTTCACCAGTGTCAAGAGTGTGACTTCAAAGACAGAACAAGAGGGAGCTTGGCTGTAGTGAAGGGATAGTTTTACACACACATGCATGTGAGTACACAACATACACACACACATGCACAATACATACCACACGTATGTACATACACACACATACATACCACACACATGGACACATACACTCACGCACACATACATACCACACACATGGACACATATCTACATATGTATACATATATACACCACACTCATGCACACATACACACACACATACACACTCACGTCCAGTTAACCATACTGTGCTATTGTTCTCTAGTTTTAGTGTTTCATTAAAGTTATTAAAAGTATGAGCAGCTGGGTGATGAGCTCGTGGGACTCCTTGTGACATTTTACAATTTCCATGGATTGATAATTTTCTTGATAAAAAACAAAACAAAAACAAACAAACAAAAAAACAAACAAAAAACCTTCCTAAATACTTTACTCTAAAAGCAATTTAATGAAAACTCAAGATAGTGTGATTTGAGGTCACTGCTGTCTTTGTAAAAATCTGTGAGAAAGCAGACAAACACTACCACTACCACATGGTGCTGCTGCTGCTGCTGGCGGCAGTGGTGGTGGTGGTAAAGCTAAGCCATTCTGATTCTCACCCTTACCAATTTCTCTGGTATAAATACTTCCACAGTTAGTGGGTGACCAGTGGGTAACACTGGGATAACGATTGGTTCTCAGAACTCTCAGGAAGCAGCGTAGACCAGTTCCAGCATCCTATTGCTCCCTGATAATCAAAGGTGGCCCTGAGTTAACAGTATCATACTAACTTGGTGGTATTATTAAAAACTCCTTTCTTGAGCTCTGGGTAGAACCCATGGAGCTGAATCCTGAAGATTCTCAGGAGAAGGTTCCAATGTTACCCTCCCATTGTCTTCTCACCACAAGCTGAGGACTACTAGTCAAAGAGGTAAGCTAGAAGTGTAGCCTCAGTGGCCTCACATGGGGAGCATCAGACCACACACAGAGTAGAAGGCCAGCTTCTCCCATCCAAGCCTAACCACATGGACCCTACTTAGCTTCTGAAAGGAGCTGTAATCGGTCATAAACAAGGCTAGTATGGCCATAGACCATCAGCTTCCTCTGTAGTCAAAGGAGAAGGAGACCTGAAATTCAGTGTAACGTGGTATCATTGAACAGTATGAGGAAGGAATCAAGAGATGACTTTGCCAAGGTTTCCTGTCCAAACCTTCTCACTGAGTAGGAGGACCACTATGTCCCTAAGTGGCTTCTGCTCACCAGGAGATACCCACTGTGCTTTTTACCTAACTGCTCAAAAAAAAAAAAAAAAAAAAAGCTCAGGCAGGGCTAGATTAAACCATCATGTCCATAAGAACTTTTCAAAAACCCTCTGACATTTATTCTTGTTTTCCATTCCATTTTTAATTGACAAATAATAATTATACATATGTATGGGATCAAATATGATGTGTGAGTCTACATATACATTATAAAAAGAACCTAAGAAGCTAACTGACATATCCATTTTCTTGCTAACAGAGCATATTTTGTGATAAGAATTTTAAAAACTTATGCTGGAATACACAATACATTATTTAAGTATATAATATATTATCTATTGCTGGATATCTACAGTTTCATATCTCCTTGAAATTTATTTATGCAAGCATATACTATCAACACATTAACAATGCGTGGATATGTAAATCCATTATTATTAACTCTGAGTAACTATACATTTTTATAGTCAAAATGGATAGTTCTTGCCCTGTAATCAACACTTTTCCTCTTCCCATGCCCCCGCTGGCACCCTCAGGTAACCATCTTTGTACTTCTTAATTTTTGTATTTTTGAACCAGGGTAGCTTAGAGTAGCCTCTAGCTAAGATTGTCCTGCCTTGGCTTCCTGACTGCTGGAGTCAAAGTTCAGCGTCACCATGCCTGGCTAGAGCACATTTAAATATAAACTTTGGGCCTAATTCGATGGTTCTCAGCTTCTCATACACACTGGAGTATCCTGAAAGTCCTTAAAAACTTTGAGATTGGGTTGTCAGACCCAACCTCAAAGATCCCGATTGCATCTCCAGGGCATGAGGCCAAGGCACAAGGATCGCAGCTCCCAGGTGATCTGCAGGTACAGTCTA